GAGCATGATAGTGTAGAATAATCATATCCAAGGACCAGTGGTGGGTTTCAAAAAGTTTTGGAAGCTCTTCTGTAGGTGTGGCCTGCTTTCCACTGGTGGAACCTCTTCTAACCGGTTCGGTAGATTTGACGAACCAGTTCTACCGAATAGGTGCGAACTGGTAGGAACCCACCTCTGGGCATGGGCAAATAAGAATTGGGAACCACTTGCTCTGCAGTCTATTTAGCAAAAGAGGTTTTATGTTTTAATAAGCCAGGTCTTCTTCAGTCTGCCAAGGGGTTACTCAAACAGGATTCTGTTCCCCTCCAGGCCGAGATAAACCCACCAAAACCTAGCCACGGCGATCGCTTTGAGTTACCACTTCTTCTTTTTTTTTAATATGATTATCGTAGGTGAAGGATCTGTCAGCTAATATCATTTGTGGGCTTTTTGTTTTGTTTTTCATACACCTTCAATGTAAATAAGTGATTTTTCCTCCTTTCCAAGGAATTATTGGCTCTGCTGTTTACATGCCCACGAGAGGCGAGTCATGTTTGCTTTAACAGGCGTTTGGGTTTGTGAAATGAAGCCCGGCCAAAGTAATTCTGACAGGATTGACAGGGAGTGGAAAGAAGGGCTCAGCTGCTGGAAGCTTCCAGCCTTGATGGCTCCTACAAGAAGTAATCAAGATATTGTAGGGAAGGAATAGCAGCTGTCACTGCAGAGGTCTCCATCAAGAGATGAGCATCTTGGTGTGATGGGGAGGGGAGGGGAGGGAAAGTTTTGCGAGTCAAAAACAGGGCTGCGTTTTTCTTCTCCCGCGAAGCTGTTCAGACTGTGGGTCCATAATTCTGGTGGGGGGGGGTTCTTCATGGAGCATCTGAACAGTGGCGTCTCTGTGCCCCCCCCCCCCCTTTGTAGTACTGATAGTTATCTCAGGTGCTTTCCATAGGGATGGGCGGCTGCCATGCAGAGTGAGAATGCTTGCATTCAGTGCGATATAATGAAGCATCCCATTCACGGCCCATAAATGTCGCTTTTCTGTGTTTTGAAGTCCTGCAGCAGAGAGAGAAAACGGTAGACTCTGCTGATTACAAATTCGAAATTCCAAATATGCAGTGCTGATTCATCCGGCGGGAGCCTGCTGGAGAATATCTGGAACGTTCCCGAGGAACAAACTGAGAAATGGGAATTTTACCTTTAATTTAGAGCTCATGGGCCAAGATAGGATGTAGCAACCTGCAAGCATCCGGCCACCCACAATCTACTCTCCCTCCCTTCCTCCCTTGAGATAGTTAAGACAGAAGTGACCACTTCTTTCTTTCTTACTTCTTTCTTTCTTTCTTTCTTTCTTTCTTTCTTTCTTTCTTTCTTTCTTTCTCTTTTCTTTCTCTCATTTTCTCCCTTCCTCCCTTACTTGAGATAATTAAGGCAGAGGTGACCAGTTCTTTCTTTCTTTCTTTATTTATTATTTACTTTATTTTTCTTTTTTCTCTCTTTCTCTCATTTTCTCCCTTCCTCCCTTACTTGAGATAATTAAGGCAGAGGTGATCAGTTCTTTCTTTCTTTCTTTCTTATTTACTTTTTTCTCTCTTTCTCTCATTTTCTCCCTCCCTTCCTTTCTTCCTCCCTTCCTTGAGATAGTTAAGGCAGAGGTAACCAGTTCTTTCTTTCTTACTTTTTTCTTTCTCTTCCTTTCCCTCATGTTCTCCCTCCCTCCCCTCCTTCCTAGAGAAAGTTAAGGCAGAGGTGACAATTTCTTTCCCTCTCTCTTTCTCTCATTTTCTCCCTTTCTCCCTTCCATCCATCCATTCTTGGTTCCTAGAGAAAGTTAAGAGGTGACCAGTTCTTTCTTTCTCTTTCTCCCTCTTTCTCCCTTTCTTTCTCTCCTTCCTTCTTTCCTGTTATAAATAATGCAAACACACAAAGTATTCCTTCCTTTTCCTATTTTCCCCACAGCAACAACTGTGTGAGGTGAGTTAGGTTGAGAGTAAGTGACTAGCTCAAAGTTGCCCAGCTGGCCTAAAGTGGGGCTAGAACTCAGCTTCTCCTAGTGATTGTCTCAAAGTGACCCAACTGGCTTTTGTGCCTAAGGCAGGACTAGAACTCACTATCTCCTAGCGATTGGCCCCAAGTCACCCAGTGCGGCTTTCAAGCCTAAAGCGGGATTACAACTCACCACCTCCTGCTTTCAAAGCCAGCATCTTCACTACTACCCCAAACTAACTGCTGAACATGGTGGCTTGATTTCCTCCCTTTTTCTAATGAGGAACGACCTGAGAGCTCCATCATAAAACTCTTAAAATTAGCTTAATATAGTAAAACAAAGAAATCCTTATTCAGATTCTTCCCTTCTCCGAAAAGCTCCCTATCCTTTTGTATGTGATATTGGCCTCGCTCTTCTTGGGGTCCAAGGCCTTTTCAACCCAGGAGCTGATGTCAAAGGCCCACCTTAGTTTCAAAAGTTTCCACCTGCAAGACTTAGCATCCGTCTCAGTTAACAAGGCCAGAAGTGTGGAGAAGGGAGGGCCCAGCCCGTTTAAGTCAGAGGACACATTTGACCTGACAGCATATGTTGGGGGCTCTTCCAAAGCGGTAGCTGTGATGGATGGGAACAGTCGCAGCAGATTAGTCTTGATTGCTTCCTATTCGTTTTTATTGCTGTAAGGAACCTAAAGCAGTGTTTCTCAACCTTGGCAACTTGAAGATGTCTGGACTTCAACTCCCAGAATTCCCCAGCCAGCGAATGCAATGGAAAATGGAAATGGAAAATAAGCCCTAATCTATCTTTTGGAGCAAAAAATTAATATGACCCCTTCTTATTTTTGGGAAAGCAAAGCATTTATTTATTTATTTTTAAAAGGGTGACAATTCCATCTTTATTTGAGCACGGTGGCCATTTTAAAGCATTACCAAGTCATCGCATTTTTACGTGATTTTTATTAAATTTGTGTTTGTTTGTTTTATTATAACTTGGTGTTGTGCTTCTCCTTGGAATCAGAACTAAAGAACTATTGGATGTATTTAAAATGAATACATTTAGCCATCTGAATTTGGAGCTCTTTAATATCACTTTGGTGAACCTCTTTAAGTTTTCCTCCCCTTTTGGCCTTGCTGATGAGTTCAAGCATCATAGTCTACCTTCAAAGGAAATGAATGGATGGATGGATGGATGGATGGATGGACGGACGGACGGACTGACGGACGGACGGACGGACACCTATATACATACATACATACCCCGTTTTGTCATTATGTATGTATGTATGTATGTATGTATATGTATCTTTCTCACTTAGCTTTCATATATATGTATGTATGTATTTCAGTGTATCAATATGCAATGCTCACCAATGTCTTCTTGCTGCTTTTAAAAAGACCTTCAAAAAATGTAGCTGCTAAGTAGGGTCAGCTTCATTCTGTCTTATAACAAGATTAATATATTTTCTTTTTCTTCCAAACAGTGGCGATTACTATGACTATGCCCATGGCTTGAACGACGAGACGTACGATTCTTATAGTGAGTACTTTGAATGCTCTGGAATTCACTTTGATGTCGAAAAAGGGGTGATGGCTCTACAGTATGTTTCCCAGAGTAATAATGCCCCATGTTGTCATTATTATTGAAAATGAGAATTAATTATGCATGGAGATGAAATTATTCAAGACATGTTCTCTTCCCCCCACCCCCTATCTCTCTCTCTGTCTCGTTCAGCATGCGGTATACACAGAAGGAAAGTTTGGAATTACAGGAAGGCAGAGTTAAACTTAGCTACGTTAGTTTCCGACACAAATATTGGGGGTGGGTGGGATTTATTTTTATCCTACATGGTCATTGCAAAGGTTAGATCCGCCCAGTTCAGGGCTGCTTGATTTAAATTCCTGCGTTGAGCTGTGCTTAAACCAGCCTGTATGACGCTGCTTTGTGATTCTTTCAATCTGCCATGTTATGCAGCAGGGGACTGTGGGTTCGGTCCCAAAGTGGAGCGATTAGGAAATTGAATTTACCTTTTCACCAGCCAAACTGGGGAATGGCGAGTGAATACCAAAATGGCTGTCCATATAAGGAAATTTGGCCAAGGTAATTTCCCCATTCCACTACATTGGATGGCGTGGGGACAACTCCTCTTCATCTCTCGCAGTGTTTCTCAACCTCCGCCATTTTAAGCTGTGTGGACTTCAAGTCCCAGAATTCCCCAGCCAGCCATGTAACGGAATGAGGAAAGGGGAATGGGATCCAATGAAATAAAAACAAAGGTTTGGAGCACAAAGCTGAATTTTTAAAGATTGTAATAGACCAGAGCAGTGAGGGCTAACCTTTCTGCCATCACGTGCCAAAAGCGGGGGGAGCACAGGGGGGTTGTGTGTGGGTGTTCCCATACTCATAATTCTACACGTCACACACACACACACACACACACACACACACTTCCAAACCTCCGGGTTGCTGTAGGGCCATTTTTCTCCCTCCGGAGGCTTCAGGGAAGCTTCCTGAAGCCTCCGTAGGGAGAAAAAAGGCCAAAAATGAAGGTTGAAGTCAACTGGCCAGTGCAGACATGCGTGTTGGAGCTGACAGGGCAATGCCTCGCGTGCCCTAATAAATGGCTTTGCATGCCACCTGTGGCACGCGTGCCATAGGTTCGCCATCACGGGACTAGAGGTATTGGATGAAGGATGTCCCGAGATGTTATGGGGAAAGGAATAAGAAGTTAAAATTGTGGCTAGATATCGGGGAGTCGAAATTTCAACCAGGACTGACAGTGACACCTTCACACCCATGAAGGCAAACGCATTCACCACACTTTCCTTATTGTCAGAGTTACTGCAGATTTCCCTGCTAATTGCTAGACGTTGGGGGAAAACAAGACTGAATTCCTGTTTCCCTGAGGCTCTTTGTAGGTAGGAGGGGATTAAACCAGCATTTGTCAACTGAAGCCCCCATCCTCTTTAACTTGGGAGTTTGTCGTGATACTGTAAATTATTCTACCGTGCAAGCTCTCTCCACGTCACAGGTTTAAATGGCTCTTAAGTCACCTTGAGGGGAAGCAGCTGATTCTCTGAAAAGTCACCGAAGCTTCCTCTTTTTTCCCCTTGCAACATGCTAAATTGGTCTCCGTGGACTTCAGAGCTTTGATTGTTCCATGCTCCGACATCAGTATGAGTTGTCGCTTTTTGCCTTCTTGCTGGAGAACATGTTAGCCCTGAGCTCATGGTGTGCTTGGTGCAAACAGGGAGTGAGTCATTACTATCCTCCCATACTTCTGCTGACACAATCTCAAGTCTCTGTTCTCCTGTTCTTCTCCCACCTAATGCCCAGGGACCGAGGGGGGGAAGTAGCAAAGAATCCTGTAAAGAAAAGAATAATTTATTGCAATAGCAATAGCATTTGGACTTACATACCAGTCCATTATGCTTTACAGCCCTCTCTGAGCAGCTTACAGAGTCAGCATCTTGTCCTCAATATTCTGGGTCCTCATTTTACCCACCTCGGAAGGATGGAAGCCTAAGTCAACCTTGAGCTGGTCAGGATCGAACTCCAGGCTTTGGGCAGAGTTAGCCTGCAGTACTGCCGTTTAACCACTGCGCTATTGGGACTCTTGTTGTGCACTTATATTATAGATCCTTGCACTCTCGTATGTGTAGTTACAGGAAGAATCATTTGATGCTGGGATACCCCAACCAGGAATGATTTCTCCAAGTGGGGATACACCTACATCCATCTTTGCTTCCTTTTGGACACTGAGCAGAAATGGGCCATCTCATTGAGGATTTTATTGTTGATGTCTTACATTGTTTAAAGTGGTTTAGATGAGTGGAATGGTACCGTTATGGGTTTTTTTCCCATTCTTTTCTTGGGAGGGAAGGAAGGAGAAAGAAAGAAAAGGAAGGAAGGAGAGGAAAGAAGGAGAGAGAAAGGGGAAGAAAGGAGAGGAAAGACAAGAAAGGAAGGTGAGAGGGACAGGAAGGAAGATGGGAAGGGGAAGGAAGAAGAGAAGGGAAGAAAGGAAGGAAGGTGAGGAACAGGAAGGTGGGAAGAAAAAGGGGAAGGAAGGAAAGAAAGGGGAAGAAAGGAAGGTGAGAGGAAGAAATGCGGGAGGGAAAGGGAGAAGGAAATAGAGAAGGATGGGGAAGAAAAGGAAGAAGAGTGGAAGGGGAAGAAGGAAGATGAAAGGAACAAGAAGGAAGCCTTATAATCCAGAAACGAGTATAATTCAATGACCTAGAGCTTTGCTGCCACTGAAGAATTAAGATTAGGCCTAGCTTTTACTTCAGGTTGAGATTAGCATCCTCATTCTGAGCCAGGTTTGTTTGAATTTTTGTTCAGACATTCCATGCAATTTGTGTTTCGGGGCTGCTGAGGGCCTCGAGGAAAAGGTATCATGGAAGGATTGAAAATCTTCCCTCTTGGATGGGGGTCTTTTTTTCCACCCACCCATCCATCCCTCCCTCCTCTACCTTGAAAAAAATAAAATAGACGTTCATCTGAAAGATTGGTAGAAAACGCCTTACCCCTTTTCCAAACTTTGTGATTTCAGGACAGGAAGACTGGACCAACTCAAGACACAAGGCTCCTTCGTCAAGATCAACAAAAGGAAGCTACAGAGAGCAGCCCTATGCAAGATACTGATTATTCTGTCCGATGTTGTGAATTGCCCAATCTCCACCAGTCCTGTAAACTGTTCAAAGTAATTTTTTTCTATGAACAATCCCTTTTTATTAAAATCAAAGTGCTTAATCTGAATGGACGGACTGAGCTTAATCTATTTTTTGCTGACTGAAAAACTT